GTATGACCAAAAATCCAAAAACAAATAGAAAATTCGTTTATATTTAAATGTTGAATGACAAAAATACCCTTATTTAAAATATGTGCATTTTGCACTAATTTCGACCAATTAAAATTACTGCACTTTATATTGCCATTAATGCATAAAATTAATGCATGACTTTACTGCACATCCGGTAATAATCACTGCACTTCCACTAAAATTAATTCTCTTATTATTCAATTGAGGATTTTTTTAAAATTTAATAATTGTATTATTTTAAGTCTAATTAAGTATATTGCATTTCATGATCGATGATATCACTGCTCCGTGTTACTGCAATACTGATCATAATCACTGCACAACAAAATTCCTTAATGCATTCGTTCACTGTCATGTACAACATGTCTATTACCATATATATTCACTGTCAATACTCCACACTTATTGAAATGTTCAATAATGACGGTGTTCAATGCTCATATTTAATGCCCACAAACACTAATTTTAGAAATTCTTAATTTAAAAAATAGAAAAATGAGAATGAAAGGCAAAGATAGAAAATCCAAAGCAGTGGCCTGTGTCCAACAAAAAAATCCACGCAACAAATCCAAAGGAGTGGTCTCCGTATCCAAATCAAACCCAAATTTGCAGGCCCATCCCCACGAACGTACAAGTGCTACAAACCTAGTTTCAAGAACATAACTTGCGCCGCACCCATGGCCCTGCTAGATTTTGGCATCATTCCATGGTAAGCGCATCGGACAGATCGAGGCAGGCGACTGGGCGGCAGATTGCATGGTTTGCCACGGCGGAGGCACACATGGATTGTGACGGTGGCGGCGCACATTTGTAGGGATGATGGCGGGGGTGGGCTGTGTTGGTCTGGATGGTGGCTGCGTCGAGTAGGCGTGGGGTTGGAGTGGCGGGGCAATCAACGGAGTGGCTGCAGCGAACATACTCCTGAAAGGCGGCGGACGGCGGGCCATGGGTCGGCGGCAGACGGCGGGCCATGGGGGTGGCGGCAGCAGAGGCTTGCGGCTGCGGGCGGATCTACGGAGGTGGGAGAATATAGGCTAGGGTTGGAAAAAAAGAGTGGGAGCTTATGGTTTTATAGATATGATCTAAAGGGTATATTTGTCAACCTAAACTATTTATGTATTTATTTATTACGAATTTTATTTAAATATTATGATTTTTAATATTATTTTGGTACAAAAACTAGTTAGGTCATAGATTGGAAAAGTGAACAAGTCTTAGTCATATCTAGGGTAATTATCTCTAATTTATATTACGGGTGTATAAAGATGTAATTGCAGATAAAATGTAATAAAATTACCTAAATACGAAGTATAAGTTAAACATAACAAAATTTAGTGAATTTTTTATCCTTTCATTCTTTTAATATTAAAGAAAACACTTTTAATCTTATTTTAGAATTTTTTTTTCTACATTTAACTCTTATTTTTGAGCATTTTCTTGTAAAAATTTGGACATATATATAGGGGTTGGGTTGGGGTTGAGTGGGGGCAGCTGCCCCCGCTGCCCCCATAGTGAATACGCCACTGCTTTCGCCTCGAGTACTCTCGACTCAGAGAGTGGGGGACTCCTGATAGAGTATATAGACTCGGACCCCCGGGTCTCACGACTATTGGGCTCGGACAGCGGCCCACATACGCTCAGTAGATAGCATTTATCTCATTGTACACTCTATTTTATTCATGTATATCCATTAGAATAGATTAGATACCATTTATTAGCCATTTATTGTAACTGGGCCAGCCAGGCCCAAGCCTGGAAGCCCAGCCCTCTTTTCTCCTATAAATACTCCCTATGGGAGCCATGTAAAGGATTGGATGGTTGATTGGAATTCATTATACATATCACTTTATCTCTCTAGCTCTCTCTTCTCTCTAAGATTAAATAATCTATCAATTGTATTTCTATTTTTTTGTACTCATACATTAATTACATACAGAGTAACAGAGAGGGGTGTAACAAGTAAGAAAGATAAATAAATATATTCCTTATTATAGCAATATAGCATCACAAAATATCAAAAATTGTATAAGTAGTAGTATGTATCATGTATGCATACACTCATTTTTTTGGGAAGAATGCATATACTCATTTTAGAAATACCGTTTTGAATATTCATTTAAAATTTTGCATATTCATTCGTCTAATATAGTACTACGTGTTTATTTTCCTCCAAATTATGAACTACCATATTACACACATAACAATGTGTAATGAAAAAAATGAAAAAATTTACACATTCTATGCAAAAATGAAAAATTTCATACTTATATATATATATATATATATATATATATATATATATCATATACTTCGTATTAATTAAACATGTGTAATAACTTATTCTTTCTGCATTGGGCACAATTCGCACGTAGTGCGTACGCCGCTAGTCAAATAAATAAAGAGTTTCACTTTTCTAAATATAGTTTGGTCTTCATGTCTCAAAAACAGTTGGATAGAGTTGTGCTTGTTGCCTTCTTTATAATTTTGTCAATTTTATATTTTGTTGTCTATTAACTTTGTCACTCTCAATGTAAAAAAACCACAATTCTTGTTAATTACTACACATTTTTAACCACACAATTTTAACTACACAGTTTTACTTTTTTACTTGCCTTATTTGGTAAACAAATATATATCAAACAATGTCAAGCAGTGCAAAATAGTGTCAAAACAGTGTTAAACAATGTCAAAACAGTAGACTCTGCAATAAAATTTACTAGTTAGTACGGAGTATATTATACACCTAGGTGTACAGGTGGGACCCGTACATCCAAGTTTATTTGTAATTTTATTTAAGCTTCAACCCAATTTCATTTATCTGTAACGGCGACCGGGTGGCAGTAAAAATTGGAGCTTTGTTGGTCTTCTCCGGAAGCTTAACAGAAACATCTGAATTGTTCAAGCTGTTTGACCGGGAGAAGACCGAAGGTGAAGAAGGAGGGGTACACGATTTAGAGAGGTTGCTGGGGTTGAAACGTAACCCTTGAATCGTTGCGCTGACTTTCTCCATTTCTCTGTAATTTGCAAAGATTGAGGCTTTTCTTCAATCAAAATGAAATTTGCAGGTAAGTTAGGTAGACTGGAGGAGCTTAACTGGAGGGGGTTTGGCGGGGAAGTGTGTGCTTGCTCTTTAAACCAGTCGCCAAGTATAATGATGATGACTTTTGTCAACATTTCAACAACCCCGTCCATTTCACTTCTTTTAGGTTGTAGAGTTGAAATTAAATTTCACCAACCAACGAGAGTTGTACTTTTAGTGAGCATCTGACCTATTTTATTGAGTATTAAGAGGGTAACCGTGGATATCACAATCTTTTTTCATATCTTCTCATTCTTTTCCTTTTTCTTATTTTTTCTTTTTATAAAAACTTATTAAATTATATCTATAATGCATTCCTACTAATTTCAATATGCGAGTCTAATGCAATATGATACTTTTGAAATATGCAATGATATGACATTTTTAAAAATGAGCATAACATCAGTACCAAATGAGCATACAGAACTTACAAAGTGCACATTGATATGAAAATAGTAAGGTTTTTAGTTGAACATCACGAAAACAATTGAGCATCAAATATCCGCTACTGAGATAAAAATCATGGTTTCTAGTGAATGAGCATTAATGAACTTTTAATGAGCATCAAACCTATTATGTTGAGTATTAGGAGTCTAATATTCAGAATCATGATCTATGCTTCATAACTTCCAATTTACTTTCTTTTTGTTGTTTTTTATTTTATAAAAAGTTATTACATTATATTTATAATCAACTCCTATGAGTTTCAAATATGTGAATCTAATGTAGAATAGTACTTTTTTGATATGACATTTACAAAACGAGCATAAGATCGGTACCAGATGAGCATATATAAATTACAAAATGCGCATTGATATGAAAATCGTAAGGTTTATTAGTTGAACATCATGACATTTTCATTGAACATCAATCCTCCTCTTTTGAGATCGATGTAAATCATGATTTCGATTGAATGAGCATTAATGAATTTTTAATGAACATTAGACCTATACAAATGAGCATATGTAACTTGCAAGATGAGCATTGATATTAAAATTGTATGTTTTGTTCGTTGAGCATCAAGACAATTTCAATGAGTATCAAACTTGCGTTATTAAGTATTACTCATTTAGATATAACATAAAACTCTTTTTTACTCATCTTATAATGTTATACCAATGCTCATTTTTTAGAAAGTGATGGTCATATAGGTATAACATAAAAATCATTTCTATAACTCACACATGTAACATAGTCATTACAAATAACTTAGAATAAATGTTTCTTAACACATGTAACATAGTCATTACTTCGGATTTTTTACGAACAATTGGTTGACATTACTATTTAGTAGATAATTTTAATGAAACTATTAGATCGTTACTAGTTAAGTAGAGTGATCAAGATAATTCAATCAAATTATCATTGTCTTAAATGTTTTCAGAATTCAAATTTAGTCAATTTTGAGAATAATTTTATAATTAATCAAATAAATGAAAAAATGAAAGGAAAAATGGAAGATTGTCAAACTGCACTAATATGAGTGCAGCCATATTTCCCAGCGACCCCCCTGCGATCAACTGAATCCTAAAAGGCTTTTGGATTCCCCAATTTCTCAAAGGATTGCACCAATTGCTCCTATCTAAACCTAGTACCCGTTCATGTGTGCAGGCACTCAGGGAGCATAGAGAGAAGACGGTGCAGGGGTTAAAAGGTTCTATAATAATCAACCTCAAATTTACAAAGAATTACTCCATCCGTCCTGGAAATAAGTTCCACTTTTCCTTTTTGGCCAGTATCAAAATTAAATTCCACTTTCAAACATTTCCTTATTTGACAAATTATATACATCAAAACGATGGAAAACATTTTGTTTTTTTTTTTGTTTTTTTGGCTTTCTCACTGGTCACGGCTAGAAGTCGTAGTTTGTAGTTGGGACCTTGAGTTGACTCTCCAATCAGCAGCACTTCAGACGGAGGGTCGGTGGCTTGTGAAAACGTGGAAAGCAATTATTGGTCGTCGCAAGAGCGTCAGATGCACCGCAAAGCACCGGAACCTCGCCGAGCATTTTAAAATGGATAATGCCACGTGGTCAAGATTCTCTATGTGGCGAAGCCGGAGGCACCGCTTGACCGCACCGGAATATGCCTCCCCGGCGAGTGACCTGGATCGACTCTCGTCACTTTCCCGAAAAGTATAAATATCTCTCATTCACACTCCCCATCCTCGTGCCCTAGCCGTCCGTTACTCCTTTTTCCAGCCGCAACCTGCTGAAAATATCCTCAATTTCTGCTCCAGACACGCTATTTTCCTTACATTTTCACGCAATCCAGCTGAAATTTGGTGTTTTTCTTCACTAATTGTTCATTTATACTCGGAATACGAAGGGGGTTTCTTGCTAAGATTAGTTGGTGGTGAGGGCTTCGAGCTGTCGGTGCGGCAATGGGAGCGGCAGAAGTGGCCTTTTCCGGTTGGAAAGGTTTGATTTCTTTGCTGTTTTGAGCTTATGGGGTCAGACAATTTCGGCGGCTGTGCAGGCGGTGTTCGGACTAAGGCCTTGCCCGAGGAAGCTGAGGTTCGAAAATTGGAAGGCGCTTCTGCTGGAATCAAACGTCCCTTTGACAAATGGAACTCTGCAGCCAGCCGAAAAGGTGGTCCTCACGCTTAATTTGTCTGTTTCCATCTTCGATACTGTATTCTATCAGTTTGGTTCTGTTGTGTTAAAACTGTAAAAGGTTGACCCCTCTTCTCTCACTTGTTGAAATGTGAAATAGTTTCCCATATTCGGCTATTTCACCTGAAAGCATTTTCGGAACGTTTTTGTTTGTGGGTGAAATGATTGTAAACGTGTGAATTATTTTACCGAGCTAACAGATATAGATTGAAGCCCATAACATGGAGTTAAGATGCCAAGATGCTGAATTCCACCAAATGTTATGTGTTATTTCTTAACTTTCTTTGGTTAGGGGAAACTGATTTTGAGGCATATTCCAGTGTATTTCAGTGTAGTCATTTAAAAAAAATGGCTTACCAAATATGACATCAAATTCGAATAGCTCATAGCTTACTGTCTGGTAATATCTTCATATCTTAATAGACAGTTTATTTTATGGCATCAAATCTCTATTCTGTTTGTTGCATAGTTTGAAGCTTATATTGTACATGGACGCACATGATAATGGCAGGTGAAATTTGTGCTGTTTATTCTTCTGTAGCTTCTTGGAACAATGTTACAGAAGATGAAGTTTGTAGGGATGTTGATGAGCAATCAGTTATCTGGAGCAAGGAAACATCTGAAGGCCTCAATTCTAGTACTAATGTTGCAAAGACAGCGAAACTAAATGCTAGGTCACAGCTTAAACCTCGGAAAGCTGGAAGGAATGCTTCTGGTAGTTCTAAGGGGTTGAAGATGTTAGAGGTGGATGGCTCTGTCAGTAAAACCGGTGAAGATGATGCAAGAGCTATAGAGACTTTATCAAATCACGCAAGCTGCAATAATGAAGGTCATTCATTTAATAAGACTGTGTTTTACATATTCTTCAGAATGCCATTTATATAATTTCCAGGTCAGGAATATGACATCCTCATTGCCTAAACATGCATAACACTCTTGATAATACTATCACACGACTTCATAGGTCTCCATTATATAAACATACATTATGGTTAGCAATAAAACAGAACCATATTTGAGTTACTGTTCAATGATTGTGCTGAAGGAAAATATTTGAATCTGTACAATGCTCTTCCAACTTTGGTGTTGCATAATTGTTATGCGTTTGGCAGTTTGTTGTAGTTCTTTGTTGGAAATCTTTAATTACTATTTTGATATATACTTCCTCTTTCCAAAAACAACTTCCCACTTTTCTTATCTGTATCTCCCAAAATAAACAACCCATTTCCATAAAAAGAAAATTCTCAATAGTAAATGTCACAACAACCTTACTCTTTGCTTACTTTTTACTTGATTTGATATAAAGTAGGGGTATTTTTAGAAACAAAGCAAAAAATGATCTTGCATAAATATGTGCAGCCGTGCAGGTCAAGCTGGGGAGTTGTTTTTAGGATGGAGGGAGTAGTTATAGTCTATTACCATGGAGGCATGGAATGCTATAAATATAAGAAGTTTCATTGTTTAGCATATTGTTAATTGTACTCGCTAGGCATTTTATTAGTCTCTACCTTTTAGTGAAGTTCTTATTGAAGGCCTCAAGGCTGTTCAGCCATGTTTGGATCTGGTTAGATGTTCCACATTGGTCACCCTCTTTCTTTGTCTAAATTTCCTTGGCATAGTAGGGAATCCTCACAGTTATGTCTGGAGGAAGGGGTTCTATTCAAAATTCGATTGACTAAGCACTTTTCCAGTTTCCTTGGATTTTAATGAAAACGGGACTGCAAAAAACTGCATCTTTCGATGGATGGATAATTAGTCAAACAATGGAAAATTATTTTGTCTTCATTTCTTTTAACTTCTTCTGTCTTGAAGGGGTGATTGCTTATCAGCTGCATGATGGGTTTAGGGTCGACTCATACTGTCATATGTAGGCATTTGTATACCGTAAGTGTTGAGTCCTGTCTTACACAGATATACTTTATTTTCGTGTAAAGAATGATGAACATATCACAGTAAAGATGTCCTTTGGCTATTAAACAATTAAACAAACATCAAAGGCAAGTGCACTTAAATAAGCATTGCATACCTAGATTCTAGACTAGAAATACTTGAATCTGCGATCTGCTTCTGGATACACATAATGTGCATGATGCGTGTTATTTGCGTCTAATAAACTCAGAACATTACTTTATTCTTCAATGCCCCTTATTGCTATAATTTATAGTTCCCTCTTTTTATACTTGATGGAATTATTACTTTTGTTATTATGTCTAGTTTTAGACTTCTATATTGCCACTTAGAAGTTTTCTTGTGTCATACAATAGCCATTACATTAGCGAGTATATCAAATTTATACTGATGCTTATTTTTTTCCATTCTGATATCTTATAGAGAAAGTTCAAATGCCTAAGTTAAGGAACAACTCAACTGGCAAGAGAGGGGACAAGAGACTTGGAAAAACTTCAAGGGGCAATTTATCTCTAAAGAATGGCATGATTAGCTTCTCTTCAGCTGCAGGCGGACACAACTTTCTTGGTATGGCAACATTTGACAAATTATAATAGCTTATCTCTTTCACTTGCCCACGCTGAATGAACATATACTTGATTTATATGTGTTTCGTCATGATTTAAGAATCTAGTTGGGCATGTAGTTGAGTTTGATGTATCTCTTGCTATGCACCTTCTCCGATTAGTGCTGGTTCTGGTGCATTACAAACTAGTACTCGTTCCATCCCTAAATTTGCACCCCATTTTCTTTTGACATGCTATTCAAGAAAACAAAGTTATGTTATTGAGATTTATTCAGAAAGAAAAGCATAATTCTGTCAAAAGGAAATGTGATGATAGCTTGAAAACAGGTGAAAAAGAAAGTGGGCAGTTCTTTGAGGGATGAAGTGAGTAATGAGTATATGACATGAAGTATGAGCCTAAGATGTTTGGCTTCAGCCTTTACCTTGCTTATGAATTATGACTTTCCACTCTGTAAAAAATTGTGGGATTCACTTACCTGGTGATAGTTTTCTTTCCTATTATTTCTTTGTTCCCAGGGAACGGCTTTCTGAAATGAAAACTTTGTTGTGTGTTTGGCAATCAATAATTCAATGTCTATAAGGAATTTAGAATCCTGAATCCCAAATATACATTAAATAACTGTGGGTCATCATTGTAACCTCATTCAGAAGAGGTGTTCTTGACCTTCTGTTTGTGGTTATAAATTCAAGAACAATATAATGGTCAAGGTAAAACTTGAGGAATGTAGTTGTCAATAAACATACACTTCAAATGATATAATGTGTATATTGTCTGAACAACACATACAAATGTAACTAGTGGATGAAGGGATAGGAAAACCACTTTGAACATTTCACTTTAGATGGCTAAATCAGGTTTTATCATGAGAAGGTCCACTTAATGAACGTATATGATCTTTGAATATAAGCCGCTACTAAAGTAATGTACTTTCTTGTCCGCGCAAGTAGAAAAATATACTACGTACGTACTATTAATTAGGATTTCACAATGGAGGATAAGTTATTTTGGTCTAAAACTTAGGTCTATATTTTGCATGCCACGCGGCACAATTGCAGATATTTTGTTGTTTACAGATTGGGTCTGTATCTGTATCTTTTTGTGCTGTGGTTATTTGCAGCTGGCTTCTTTTTATAGAGCATTCCATTTTTGAACAGAGAAACCTCATTGAGTGTGTTCAACTTGACAACTTATACTAGAAATTTGCATTACTGGTGATTATGCACTAGAGTTTCTCTAGTCATTTCTATAGATTTTTAGTGAAAATTAAAGTAAATTGGCATCCTCACAAGTTTTGGGAGTTTTTTGAAGGATTTTTAGTATAAGACATACCATGGAAAGTCCATTTTCCTTAGCTTTATGATGCATTTAGAGTATACATGATGTAAGTGATTGATATCAGCTTATATTAAACTAGGCTCAAACTGTCTTGACTCTTGATAATAGCGAGAAGAACAGATTTTGACATTCTTTGTTGTCCAGTTGTGCAAAGTGCATAATTTTTTGGTTCTAATATGAGATATAATAAATGGAAATCAGGAAGTTATGGTTTGAAATCCGACACTTTGGACGTGGCTGAAAAAATGGAGGATATGTCTTTGGAGGAGCTTCTTGATGGCAGTTATATGAGTCCTCTTTTCACCAAATACAAGGAAAAGAAGGCTACAAGCTCAAATGAAAGTCTTCTTCATGCAATTAGAAATGCTTGCTCTCTACTTCAGAAACCTGAACGGGTCAAGAGTTGCTCAGATGATGATAAGATAGCCGAGCCCATGCATATTGCCTCTTTTTCAGCAACTGAAGCTGATGGTATTAAAGCAGATGCCTGCACTTCGGCTGTATCTTCATATGATAAGGTTAGTTTCGCTACCAATGCAGAGGCCTGTCTATCTTTAGTTTGATATGATAGATACAGTAAGGGTTTTAGGCCTATCTTTTAAATTCTTGATTTGATGTCTTGCAACCTCTACGTAGGCACGCTATATAGTATATACAGTATCTTGTGCTCTGTATCGTTTAGAATATCCACTGCTACTATAATTAGTGATGTAATAAGATTCAGATTATAAATTATCACTTTGAATTACAGTGGTACTCTAAGGTTCTTTGGATTACATCTTTGATGCGAAAGTTCTGGAGGAATTCTTTGGAGGATGTTCTTTGAGACCCAAGCCTACATCTCCATACTGACCCTGAGAGTTCTATGAAATGTTAGTTTGGCTGCTTTAACAGTTACGTTAATACGCCATTACCCTCATAAGTAATTTGCTTAAGTAGTTAATTGTAAGGGCATTTGGGTCATGAAATGTAGGATTACCTTAGATACTAAGACTACCTCATGGAAGGTATTATGAGATTTAATGAAATATTAACCGAATGTAGTAGTACATTAGTGCTCCCAAGCCAATTCAACAATACCACCTAATTTAAGGGAAAAAGTGGAATCTTAAGAAGTATCTAACAATCTTAAGAAACCCAAGTTTATAAGGTTACCCCCAACATTACCTCATTTTCTTACGCGGCAGTGCCATGAAAAAATGAACCAAACAAGGTTATTTCACACTACCTCTTTTATATTACTAGGGTAATATCGGATTACCCAAACGAAACATCTTTTAAGGGTAGTGCTGTATCACTCATGCAAGTGCTTGTATGAGAAGTTGTTCCCATAGTTAAAGTTAGGAATCATTTGTTATTGTATTTAAAATGCTCTATTACAGGAAGCGTGTGGTAAGCTTAAAACAGCTGAAGCTTGTGTCAATCTTCCACCATGCAAACACGTGGATATTTTGAAGCACATTTCACTTCCCCCAACAAAGGATTTGGATGCTTTGCTTCTTGATGCAACCAAACACACATCTTCCAGAAACAACCCTGATCCTCGTCTAGGCAAGCCAACATCATCTCAGCGAATTGGCTTGCCTCCTTTTCCTTGGTCACATGGGTACTCTGGAAACCACAAATCTGGGCCTGATGCATCGAAACCATCAACAAGTAGGACTGCTTGCCAAGGCAAGTGGGTTAGGGTGAATGACATATTTACTCCTCAAGATGGATGTCCTAGTTTTGCAGTAGATTTGCAATCTCTCACTTATGATCACAGTCTAGTTCCATCAGGAAGTAAACCATCTGTGATTCCAGAAAGAGGAAATCAGATCCAACATCCTTGCGACACTCAAAATGGTGAACCCTTAGAAAGTCAAACTCAGAGTCATGTTCCTTCAGGAGGTCAAACATCTGACCTATCAGAAAAAGGAAATACCCCAGCAGTCCAAGCTGAATTTGCTTCCTTTGACAGAGTTCTTTCATCATTTGCTACTTGTTCTATTTCCCAAGTTTCTTCAGGTACATTTCTAGAAGGGTAAACTTTGTGAATTTCATCATTCATACAAAATCTTTAACTTCTTGAGAGACTGCTTGTTATCGTTTTTGTTTGTTTGAAAAATAAAAACAAGATTATGAAAAAATAAGAATGTGATCTTCAAGTTTTTGTTGTCACTCTTTGAAATTAACATGATTAGTTTGACTACTTTTTGGTTTATAATAATACAACCTATATCATATGCTCTCTCAGCCCCTAAAAGAAGTTCCAAGTTTGACTTGCGTCAATGTTAATGAATCAAATGTTTTGCTTTTGGCTATCAGTTGTTCACTTGTAATGCATTATTGAGAGTAATTAATAGCGATAGACATGGATAGTAAATGAGTGTAGTAAAGTAACAATTACTTCCATCATATGATGAGAGTAACTTTTAAAATGGTAGAATCTAAAACTGATAGCTGGATGGGATAGAAAATGGGCCTTGATAGCTTTTTAGCAACATCTATCCATGGCATTATTAACTACTTTGATCTTAACAGAGGAACCATCCCCAAGATGTTTGACTGCTGCACGGACACTGTGTGAAATTGCAACCCGATCAGTGAAGCGCAGAACGAATGGAACCGTAAAGTGTCTTAAGAAACCTACTCAGAAGTCCACAAGAGCTCCTCCAAAGCTGAAGTTGAGTGAGAAACCAGAAAAACCATTTGCAGCACCAAATAGTATGGACATGATGAGAGCTTGTGAGGGGATGCTTCCACCCAAAAGACCTAAACTAATGTTGGATGGGGAGAGAAACGGAAAAGCCACTGCAAGAAACTTTGACAGAAAGCATTGGTCGGCTCCACGATCAGTTAGACCGTCTTCGAGCAAATATTGTAAAAACGCAACAAGTTCAGAAACAAAAGGTCACAGCAACAGCAGCTTTGTAGATAAATTATATATGATGAAGGGTTGTAGTAGTCAGCAAAAAGCATTCAAGTAACAAGATGAAGACCGAAGCTCATCAACACACAAGGGCTGTATATGAAGATTCATTCAGTTTTAACTTTTAGATCTCACCAAAAGTGGTAGGTGTTTTGTAAATTCTGTCTGTATGAAGAAAGAAGGGAGCTGGTGGCCGTGATCTTGATTTCAGGAGAAACAGGCAAGCCTGCCCTGTTGTATCATTATTATTTGTTTGATGTTATCTAATCAGAAGTGTAATATCCAATCAAATATTCTTCCATCTCCTCCATCTTTCGTGTAAAGTGGTTCCAATTTATTATCTCCGCTCGGAAAATATCATGTTTGATCAGAGTACGTATGTACGATAGTCGATAGAGGATTTGAGTTAAAGGTCTTACAAATTTGGTGGGATGGTAAGAAGAGGATAATAGAAACACGTCGCAAGTAGGATTTTCTGTTATGGGAGTGCTTTCATGGCAGTTTATTAGAAAAACCATATTGTGATAATCTCCACGGGAAGAATGCCTAGATGTTATACAACAAAACAAGAGACTAGATATCAGAACAAAGTTCATGCAGAAAAAAATTATTTGTGGGATAATATCCCTTTGGAGTGGTCACAATCAGAATATGCGAGGTTTTAGCAATTTAGCGTAGTTGGTTAAAAATTAGAGTAATTTATTCGTAATTAGTTACACGCATAACAGACCCAAAGCTTGATGAGTCAGTCTTGGTCTAACATCTGTTTGTTCATGAGATAGCATATGATGGAGTGATCGGTGAACTGGGTATGAAAAGAATTGATCAAAAGCATAAATGACGACAAGAAACTCTTTTACTACCTTTCATAGTTGAGCTCCGAACCATGGAGCAATGGTGGCACGGAGATCCTTCACTTCTATTTTCTAAAAAAGTACTTCAATAGCAAATTATCACGGAGCTTCACGGAGATTCTTCACTTCTATTAGCACCACTCATCAATTAAATAAGGGACTAACCAGAGCTGTGACGAGAGCTCCCTTGAAAGTTTTGAAAGATTGAAGACAAATTATTTCCATTATAAATCGACAGATAATGTCATAATAAAAAAGTTTGAATACATCTTATTTGATATGTTCTTCACATTGGGATTAAGATTTCTTTGATGTACCACAATAGATTGGTGGTGGTCTTAATTGCATTAGAACTTGGTGCATTCCTTTGGTATCTGCTAAAGCCTATGAAGTGGGTGTGATTTGAGTTCTCAAAATTTGCAACTACTTTTCTTTTGTTAGGTAGAGTGTAGCAAAAATTATCACCATATGTGCAAATTTTTCTTCACAAAATGTATCAAAAAAATTACGAAACTCTATATGACTCCACTATGGAGGCATATAGCCCATGTGATCTCATAGCAAGTTAGCAACCATTCATTTTTATAGTGAATTTATAGAGGAGGCTCCCATTTCATAATTGAATGAGTGTGATGATGCCACATGTGTTATATGACTCCATAGTGGAGTCATATATAGGATTCCATAAAATTTTACCGAAATGTATACTTGAGATTTACCGATGGAGCTTTGCAAAATTTTGATTATCACATTTCAAATTGATGGGTTTGGTGTTACAAAAATTATGTTATGAAAGATGACACTCTATCCAAATCAAATTAGCTCAAACGATCCAAAAGTCATGGCACGACATTCGGCTTAACACTTGATCGTGACTCAACTTCTTGTTTCTTACCATTCCAAGATGTATAAAATTTCTACTAAAGAAAAAACAAATAGCTATTGCGATGTATAATCCCAATGGAAAGTTGGAAACCTGTGTAGTTTGCACCAATATATCTCTAAAATATATGTGTCTGTGTCTTTGAAATAATTTGATGACAATGTGAAGAGTATATGTATTTCTTGAGCTGATTGTAGAAGCGACTTTGTGAAATATATAAATCATATGAAACTTGACCTTGACGCCTATAAGTATAAGATAAGTTCACTCCTAAGAAGTTTCCTAGAATTACTAGGGGAATTGGGGTTTTAATCATATTGGAATTTAGAAATGTCATTTCAAACGCACTAAGGACAATCATATATAGAAAAGTAGGTTGAGATTCAAGAAAGTTTGAGATGTGAATTTTCAGTATATGAAAAATAGATTATATTTTAAAAAAGATTAGCACATTAATATTTTATGTAAAGTCTTTTGTAAAGCCGAATTTCTCAAGAGGAGAAAAAAGACAAGTATCATACAAAGTGATTGATCGTGATCTAGGACATTAACATTGGAATCCTTTTGAAGATGGATAAGGAAGTTGCACAAACACTTCTGAAGATAATGTATGCAAAGTCCCATGAAGCTGCAAAGAGTCTTCATCTGTAATACTCCGTACATCTGACTATGTGAGGAAGCTTCTACTCATACGAAAAAATTTTGTTGGGTACCTTAGATTTTTTGCCATACTTTCTCACATATACTCCGTATAATATATGTCCTGTTAAATGTTAATATCCTTGACTGATATGAGTTTCGAACCCGTGACCTCATCCTTGAGAATGACACGGTGATGTCATCGAACCAGATGTTGTTTAACAACATTAAGAGCCCGTTTGGAGAACTCTGTTTTCGGCTTATCAGGCTTATCAGCAAGCTTTTTCACCAAACACGTAACTTTTACTTTCGCGCACTGAATTGTGTAATAAGCCGAAAAAGTAAGGTTGGAGTTACTTTTCTGGCTGTATTGGCTGAAGTTACTGTAGAGGACCATTTTAGCTATTTTTACATATAATTTTTTCTTTAATTTATTAATAAAATATATTTTTAAAATATTTTTTTCTTAAATCAGCAGAATCAGCCAAAACAGCCACTCCAGCCAGAATATCATAAATTTCAGCAGAATCAGCCAAAACAGCCGATTTTGGTGCTACCAAACGGGCTCTAAATTAGCACATTATCCATTTTGTTAGTGGTGTTTGATATGAAGATTAGTGAGATATCTACAAGTATCCATTAGATTAGAAAAATGATCATAAAAATATTCTTAGGCTATTTCACATTTGATAGTTTTTATCACCAGACAAATTGACTCTTGACTTCATGAAATAACCTCTAAAATGTGTTTAGGGACTTGTCTTAGAGGGTAGAGCAACAAAGTCCAAATCTCTTCTATCTTCATCCCTCGAGCCCTCCATGGACGCTAATACACCAGTCTTTATCGTTTTAGACTCCAGTGCAAGTCTAACAATGAGGTTTTGTTCATTTTACTCCTTTTAGCTCATTAATGATTTATTTATTTAATTAATTAGGAGTAAGAAAATTGGATTGATCTCATCACTGGAAGCCTGGAAAAGTTGTGGATTATGGGGCAATGCTTTCATTTCAATTCTCAAATCTTTCTGCTCTTCTTAAACCGCACTTCACTACAAAAGATATCAATCATGCAGTGTTCTTTTATTTAGATTTTTAGCATGTCTTCTAAAATTTGAGTTTTTTTCCGTATTAATGTTAATTAATTAATTATTTACGGAAATAATGCTGGAAAAAAAGTATTTACCAAAATACTGCTGGCCTTAACCGTGGTCAGGACAAAGTCGCCCAACCGTTTGGCGACTTATAAGTCGCCAAACCGTTTGGCGACTTATAAGTCGCCCAACGGTTGGACGACTTTGCCCTGAAATATGGTTTCAGGCAAGCAGCTACTGCCAGCCACGCACGATCGTGCCTATTTCCTTAGGCACGATCGTGCCTATTACCTAAAACACCAAATCAGCTTGTTTTTCGCCCTGGTTCAATCCAATCCGATCTGTTTGCTACAAATAAGGTCTCCTTTCTCCTTTTGAAGTGTTACAAACTAGATACAACACATGATAATCACCTACTCTCAACAACATAAAAAACACCTTATAAACACCGCTAAAAAACTTTCAAATCATAACCGGTATAACACAGTTCAATCATCATATATGCCATAACAAATAATCATGTAATATTCATACTCGAACACATCAATACAACATAGAATACTTAACAAGAGAAAATACATCAAAACTTGTAAATTGTTCCTACAACATCTATTGCATAAGAAAAACTACAATACAAAAGACAAACTACAAGTTCCCATCAATCAGCTTCGTCATGGAGATGTTGCTGCTCATGTCTACGCCTACGGCGTTGTCGTGGTTGAAGAACCACTCTCTCATGTTGCGTCTGGGATGATGAAGCCGCGGCTGCACTAGACGTGGATGCCATCTCCTGAGATGCGGGCATGTGTATAAGATGTCCGTAGTCTACTCGACCCAACACATCTGAGCATAACGAGGCAATGCCTGTCAGAGTCTGTCCATACATGTCCACATCAGGAATATCAGTCACAGTGGCAGTAGCCCGCTGATGTATGCGCTGCAAAGCTCGTGTCTGCAATACGAAACACAATTACAATTACATTGAAATACATACAAGTATTACATAAATAAAATGACTTACTTTACTAATTAGTAATATACTCACCGTAAGATGCAATGCCAATGAGCTAGGCTGATAATGATGAGTAGGGAGTCTGAACGAAGGAGACACAAACAACCGAGTGATGCTGTAGTACCATCCCATGTAATCTCCTGAAACTGATGGCACATATGTGGGTGTCCCAGCCACGGCTAGCTCAGCTCTCCTATCCCACATAGTCACGTATCGGACATGTCTGAGTGCCCAATCCTCTGTATGCTTCCCACGCCTATCCAGCTTATGCAGCTCTACATAAGTGTCGATAGGACGTGGAATGACCTGCTCAAACCCAAACTGTCGCATGACTCTATCAGGCAAATGAAGCTCAACAATGTCAAAACATATCAGCGGCACACGTGCTCGCCATATGTGAGTCTGCTCTCGTCCAGCTGGGGGCAACTCTGCTAACATATCAGGTCTATACGGCATCCATGTGATCTGTGTCGTAAACATACAAAATTAGTATTTATTCTACACCTATTGTAGTTATTGTTATACTACACACACCATACCTGGTCCTCTGACATCCGATCCAATGCATCCCTGTACACACCGAGGCCAGTAGCGGATGACATGCGAGATACACCAGCATATAGCCACCTAACCATTAATGTTACAATATCAATAATATGGATTTTATTAATGCATTTACATTCAACAAAAACTAACACAAATACAAATGATTGAAAACATACCGACGGCCTAGAGGGTCCACGCCCCGTACATGATGTGGTCCTAGCAGACGTGGAGGCTCATCAGGCAGTGGCTGTCCATCAATGCCATGATATCCAACTATAATGGGACGGCCAATGTGGATATACTCCCATGACCAAATCTGGAGGAGTAGCAAAAATCCCCCCAGCTCTGTGCTCCCTCTCTGGCACCCGCGACACAGCTGCCTGTAGAGATAA